ATGGCATTTTGGAGGTTTCCCGCTTTTTTTGGTGATTTTCTTAGCTCCCAACTTTTCATTAGCATTATATCTGGACTCGATGTGTGTCTTCACTCAAGAAGGCTAACTTTCCAAACTCGCACGAGTTTCTGCCTGCTCGCTGTGAATTCAGCTATTTGTTATTAAGAGTACATGATCAGAAAGATCCTAAAAAGGAATACGCTATGAAAGTGGAGAAGAAGCTGGAAAACCGAAGACATTCTAAGCTGAAAATGGAGGTCTGTTGTTACATTATAAATCCTGCACCGCACCCCCCCATTACTAAACTCTTAACAACGAGAGAAACTCCTTCTCATAATCTCGACTGCCTGCTTGTTTAAACTGATCGTCTTTGCTTGGGAATCACGATTGGTCTGACATTGAGAAAACTTTCCACTCAAAAGAAGACTGAGAAGGGGATTTTTGAACTCAATTGTTGGGCACATGAGTCACTCGTAGCGAACTTCTTCAACACTAGCGGATCTCTATACTTACATGGGTTACCACGGACAAAGAGCAGAAGCAGGCTCAATCACCAAAAAGTCACGCTAAAGTCAAGTGCACTTCTCTGTTGGTTGACACTTCACCCTGTGAACCTTCTAGCAGAACTTGGCCCATTGATTGCAGTCAGCTGGATAATTCAGTCGTATATCCTTCGCAGACCGTGACGGTAGGTGTCAAAGGGGGTAAGCACGATAAGCTTATTAAGCGATACGATAGTGCTGTCTGGGACACGCGAAGGGACAGCCAGAAGCTACGTGACTTAACATTCCGCCCACCATGATTTTGCCGGCAGAACTCCTGCTCTGAAAAAGATGGACTACGTCGAAAGGCGTTAAAAGAAAATTCCAGCCAGTGAAAATCTTGAGAGCGCAACAAACGAGTTATACAATCAAGATGCCTTGAATAAGGCTCCTGCCCGGTGACGTCGTTGCATGCTGCAGGCGGAAATTTGGTTTCCCCTTCCGCTAACTGCTAGAAAGTTGATATTCACTTGGCGGTACCTCCCAACATCCTCGATCTCAGCGACGGCGTGGTGCATAAGGTTGAACGTTATTGTGGGCAGACAGTGTCGTATAATTTTATGCGTGTCATGTGCAGCCGACATGAAAGCTGAATTGCACAGAGTAGCAGGACGAACTCGGGAATTTGAAGACAGTGCCCGCGATCGACTTTGGCAGGTTCGTTAGGGTCTCAGAATGTTAGAACATGTGGCAACTAAAGCATTAATCAAAAAAGTAAACAAAAAGCGCCGCAAGAACATAGAATAAGACCCTGTTCGATCGGACGCATCTGGTCGAGTTTCGCAGATTTTGGGTGAATTCTCCAAAAGCCGTCGCTGCCTGCTATTCGCATGAGGCCACCACCTAGATTATCTTATCTAATCTATTAGGTTGACCGAAAAGTTTCCGCATGAATTTGGTGAGGAATCCAACGGCCAAGCTTTGCGACTTTACCAATCTTCTCCAGCCCAGATTCAACAGTTGATTGGGCATGGCCGAGCATCGCTGCAAGTTCCCTGGTAGTGGCGTACGGATCCTCTTCCACGGTGGATTGCAGCAACTTCAAGTCTAACTCAGTCGGCCGGCCGGACCTGTGGAGCATCTTGCGGAGAAGAAATCGTCCTTCCTTGAACTTGGCCATCCAGTCGTGACGTGTCGGAAGAGGATAGCGTCAGCGCCATATGTATCCACTATCTTGGCTTGGGCTTCCTTTGCGTTTAAGCCAGACTGATGAAGGAAAAGAAGACAGTGCCTCAGGTGCATCCTGTCGGGTTGAAACTTGGGCGGCATTTTGGAATCCAAATGCAAGCTGGGTGAGTGTGAGGTAGTGATGTGAAAGAGTCTCTTGCGTGCTTCATGCACACCCCACGATAAGTCATAAACATACATGCAAGGCTAATATGGTGCGATCAAACACGTGGCGGGAAACTTTCCGGTCAACCTAATATATTAAATCTAATCTATCTTTGAGTTAATCTCTCTATCAGTGTACGAAACGAACGCAGGAAATTTAGCGATTATCAATGCCAGCGAGAATTGATAGTGGCAACCAATCGTGGCGAGATTAACACGACAGGCGGAGTCAGCTTATCATCGTTGACTCCGCCTTTGCCTATCAATCGATTTTGAGTCCGAGGAGTGACATCATCATGGTAGCGAACTCTCCGGGTTTCTCCTGGTTGATCGCGGGACGCTGTCTCTTAAAGTTTGGAACTTACGTGCTAGGTATGTGGACTTCTCTACGCTTTTCAAAACGCTCTTTTCGCGCGAGGGCGGGGAATTGGCGTGACTCTTTGTCAACCACGGTCGGCCGTGTGGACCAACCAAGTTCAAGATGGCACGAACTTACCCATCGTTACATCGTTACCGCTGAGCTCTGGCAGTAGAGCACTGTCAGAGCCCGCTCCTCTGCAGGGAACGTTGCGAAACGACTCACTCGAAATTCCCTACTCTGGTAGCATCCCCCCCCATCTTATGTGCCTACCACATTCTTTTTCTTCTTCCCCAACCTCACACGAGTTTTCTTCGATTTTTTTTCTCTGAAAACTTTCCACTCCTTTCAAACAGCTGCGACGTTGTAGGCAGAGGCGGGGTGAGCGAGCGCATGACCAAGAAGTCAGCAACCAAAGAATCTTCTCGAAAGGAAATACGACCCTCCCCTCTATGACCGCCGACATACAACGTGCCCTCGTAGAAGCAAGCAGGGATTGAGATTCTGTGATAATCTACGATGCTGCTCTACCTAAATTGGCTGTCTTTGTGAATTTGCCCTATCCATCAGATGTAACACTGCACACCGAAGGGAATATCCTTTCAGATAGCTATTCTCAAACTCGTATCTGCTGAAAGGCGTCAGTCACATTTCACAGCAATAATTGACAGAGGTAAAAAGGAGACGTTCTTCTTTCTGGTAATGGAGTTGGTTGGCAAAAGTTTAGCTGATCTGAAGTCTCAGCGACCGAATAAGGTACCACACTTAATTTTAAGAAAAACAATGGTTTGCCTCACATCAAAGTATTTTCTACCCAGGTGTTCTCCGTGTCTACCGCAATGGGCGTTGGCATACAATGCTTGGAAGCGTGTGAAGACCTACATAAATACGGATTTATTCATCGAGACCTGAAGCCAGCCAACTACGCCTGCGGTTTGGGAGATAAGAAAAGAGTGGTGAGTTTATCGAGCTGGTTTTCTCTTCAAAGTTGCTTTGAAAGCTCAATTAGTGGTTGCCCTCGTAAACTATTCATAGATATACATTCTCGACTTCGGCATTGCTAGGAAGATTACGAACTTGAAAGGAGAACTGAAAACTCCTCGTTCAACGGTCCGATTCAAGGTCAGCTCTGGAATATGGCAAATAACCTTCTTCCAGACGTAGTAAATATACTATTATTTATCAAAGTTTAAGGGAACAATACGGTTCGCTTCACTTGCTTGCCACAAGAATACCGAAATGGGTGCCAAAGACGACTGTGAATCATGGTTCTATTTATTGTTGGATATCACAATACCAAGAGGTAATGACGCCGAAAAGTATGCTAGCAAGTTGAAGACCATAGTCGAACAAGGCCTAACATCTTCCTTTGAAAAGTCTTGAGAAGCTCCGCACATCGCAGCGCAGCTTGAATGATGATATTTAGGCTGCGTTAATACTTTGCGGTAGCGTCCACCAACGACCACCAGCGTCTATCAGTGACCATCAGCGTTTCAAGCGTCCGTCAGCGTTAGCGAAAAGGAAAGGATATGGGAGAAAAGACCATTATCGACCTAGCGTGGGCTGGCGTCTACCAGCATCCACCAGCGTCCATCAGCGACCAGAAGTGGAAAGTATGGGGGAAGTAGGAGGGTGGCAGACTGTTGGTAGAGTAAGGGGAAAGAGAGATTAGAGCGCCAGTACCAGGCGAAAATTATGCCGTGTGTGCAGCGCACCCGTTCTACTACGCATTACTGTACTCCTGCTAGCTGGTGGACGCTCCAAGACTGTGATAGATGCTGTTCGCTAGCTCGATATCTAAACTTTTCTAGCCGCTGATGCTCACGGATGCTCGAAACGCCGGTGGTTGCTGATGACACAGCTGCCGCAAGCTTGAAGCGCAGCTTCTCGCTGCGAGGGTTCAGAGGTATTTTAATATGGCATCTACTGGCATAGCAGTTGGAAGGGAAGAAAAGGAGGAGTGAAGATAGAGGAAAGGAAGGAAGGAAAACAAGGAAGGAGAGAGAAAATGAAAGAGGGGGAGGCTTCTACGGATTGCTGGAAGAAGCTTAACGAGAATCGTTTTATTAACCATAGCATGTCCACGACTCATCGTTCATAGTCAAGAATCAAAAACTCTAAAGCTATCCAAAAAACACTGGCAGCAACTTTCCTTCTAGCCTGTGTTTGTGGCATCCTGCTGTCATTTCTATGCATAAAGGGCGGCGACTAAAGAGTTCGAAGAAGCCTGGAGGGGCCGTGCCGAATGGTAGAGGAAACATTCTTGTCGCATATTGCGGAAGAAGGAAAAAGCTGGAGTCAAGCGAGTGGGTACTAAATAAACAGACCGGTTCCTTGATGTATAAATGTTCATAATTACGGTAACCCCGGAAAAAAAACAAAACCCAAGTAATGGACCAAGGCAGTTTTGAGTCGCAAAAAAATAAAAAGACAGAATTTCCCCGCCAACCTAATATTTTTGAGCCGCGGAGTTCGCATCTCGTCCAAGCTCGGGAAGTGTCTTCCACATCAATGGAGTACCACATGAACTGAGAATGCTTGACCCACACTGATTGAGAGTCCCACATTTGCCTTGAAGAGGGCCCAACTGTGGCCTATTATTCTCATTCATTGCTGCATTCCTACAATTTACATCACGACAGACGAGAAACAGATCAATCGACAAGACAAGATTGCACGTTCCTCACTATGAGTGGATTGCAGGCTTGGTATGGAAATCAGTACCTCGTAAAGAAGACGTACTTAGACTGAAAGAAGAAATGCGCACAACAAAACGGGTTTGTGCTCCTGATTACAAGTGGTATTTCATTGAAAGAAACATCTTGAAGATCCTTCTTCATGTACCTCCGCGAAAAAAGGTAATTGAGAAAGCTGCGAATACATAGACATAGATCTTTTCAGGAATTGGCTTTTTCTGGCGTGAAATGTACCGAAGAGCTCGGGAGGGTACTCGACTACATCGACGGTTTGAAGTATTTCGATCATGTGGATTATGATTTCATCTACAAGTCTTTAACGGAGGTTCGCTAGTCGATGCTTACATCTAATCAGTTCGTGTCATGCTTTGGGCAGAGTGGTACCACCCCGACCAAGCAACCGAGCGGCAACTTTTTGCCACATGATGACGGGTCGCGGTGATGATTGAAGAGGCGTGTTAGACGCTATTTTAGAGGCACGCTCCGCGAGATGATGTGTGCTATGCTCTTCTTTGTGACACCGCAAACAGAGGGGGCGGTGTGAGGAGGGCGGAATGGACCCAAATCCGATTGGCTTGCTCTTATAATGGCGTTCGAGTAGTGATCGAATTAAACCAGTGGTAGAAACGCCGCAGGTGGGGTTCAGTTCATCCCTCTTGAGACGACCCGACTGACTACGACGATACCAACTGCGGCTCGGTTTGCAGTGACAGTGGCTGCGCTACTCTCGCGTACCATTCCTTGCATTGGCTTCAGGTCCTGGTCTTCAGTTCCTTCACTGGTCCCTATCACTGCTCTACCAGGACATGAGAATGGACACCTCAAAAGAATGTAGGCAGGGACATAATTCTCAATAAGAAATCAGCTGGGATCTATTTCGGTGACCATTTCGATCGCAACAGCTTTGTGTGATGATTTGGTCCATCTAGGGCACGCCATGGTTGTGATACTCACAACGGGGGAAGGGACGTCTTTGATCACAAACGAGGGGGCCGTATATGGCCCGAGAAAGTTTTTCTGATAGTTGATTGCTCTTGTTTCACGAACGCTATAAAGGGGGGGGGCGTCGTATTTGGTGGTTGTTGGGAGAGGGGAGGGGTCGTATTTGTATTAGAGAGGAGCTTGTGGCGTTGGGAAAAAACTTTTTCATTGGCTTCAGGTCGTGGTCTTCAGGTCCTTTACTGGTCCCTACCACTGCTTGCCGGTTGTTGGCCTTTTGCGGCTTTTCCCGTTTCACTGGTTTTATGTATCCCCCCCCGCCCATCCCTTGCCCAGTTGGCGGCACACAGCCAAAGATCTATACGAGTACTATTTTCAATAGTGAAAATAGTAGTTAGTTTCTGACGACCTCTCTCCCTCACCCTCCCCCTCTCCTTCCCGCTCGACAGCAAAATTCTGGGGGAAAACCAGAGAATTTTTGGGAAAACTGGGAAAAATGGTGGGAAGTTGGGAAAAACTAGGAAAGTGATAGGTAAGGTGGGAAGAGGGGAGGGGGGTCGTCAACTGCTTGTGAAAAGGCGCTTTTGGCTCATTGACGGCACTTTTTTGATTTTCTCTCCACCACTGATTCCTCTGACATCTTGGCATCTCCGCACTGAGACGGTCCTCCCAAGGCAAGTATGTATTATGGTTTCGCCTCTGAAGGCAGTCCCCACACTTCAGCCTTCCTAGGTATCCTTCCCTGTAAAATTGTCTGGTTGCTCAAGTAACTCAGCCTGCTTTTCTGCAGTCGCGTTCGCTGTGGGAGCAGGGGCGTGTCAGGGAGGGCTGAGTCTGGCCGGCGTTTCCTGTCCACACACTGTTGTCGCTTACCTCCCTTTCGAAGAGTTGGTGGTGAAACTGCGATAGTGCTTCAAGAACCCAGCCCCCCCCGCTGATGGTCCTACGCAATCCGCAGCGATTAGGGCTGCAGTTCTGACTAATCGTAACGAACTTTCAGGCAGCGAAAACGTGTGGAGGAGACATCAATGACCCTTATGATTGGGAGAGGGAAAAAACGACAGCCTCATCCACAGTCAAGTCCACGTCAGTCAGTCATGGCTGAAGTCTTGAATTGTTGTTGTCCGTTTCTTTCGCTGTATTAGTCGAAATAACTATTCGTGATCGATTGTGAAAGTCACTTAAGATATGTTGATATCCATGATAACATTAAAAATTAAACTGATTCTGCCAGAACACTGTTCTCTTAGTGTTATGAAATGACGATAAAGAGCGAAAAAATTAAAAAAAAAAACAGAAAAAACAGAGTGATGACGTAAAAAATCAAGGCAGACAATGTTTGAGCGAAACTTGCATATGCCCAGGGCGCAGTTTGCCGACGGCGGAGGGCATTTTTGCACTTTTCGTTGCTTCACTAGTTCCGGTTTACAGTCTCACTCTGGTGAAACCTGTGAACTCTTGTGAAGCTGGAGCAAGCTCGTCAAGCCATCATGGTAAAACCTGTCAACTCGAGAAGAGGCTGTCTAGATGGGTCGACACGTCGATGGGAAGTCGTTAAAACCCGCCCCAGTACAAGTTCTGCAACAAGCAATGGTCACTCTGTTAGTATTTCAGATCACTAAGACCTGAACTAGTTCAACAATGATCCCTCTCTTGGGTGAGTACCGAGTTGCGAAGGAAACTAACAACTAACAAGGGGCGCTAATAATTTTGATGGGGGTCATCCGAAGAACTCTTCCAGCGAAACCAGAATTACTGCTGTTAAGTTAATACCTCTGCCTAGTCTAAAGAAGGTAGGAAGTTCCGGAGTGACTGATACAATTTCAAGTATGGTACCGGTTTTGCACTTGTTTCTTTTAGATTGGAACTTTACATTCATTTCAGACAATGGGCTCCTTTTCACGTGCGAGATGTGGGTCCGCAGTGCAGCAACGTGCCCATTCCTCCAGACCCGGGTGCTGCTCCCGAATCCCCCGCGCTGTCCTCGAGATGCAGCACTCGTACCGAGGTCCCGCCGCGTCCGCGCAGTCAGAGGTAATGGAGAACCAGAAATGAGAGCGCACACAAAGAGTTTTGTTATATTCAGGTGTATGTTTGGCCATGCGTCAGTGCGGGTGCAGTACGAGGATGGCACCAGGGTCAAGCATATGTTGCAGATGAGCTAGTACTGCTCTCGGTAGAGGGTTCGCATTTGCAGAAATCTTTTTTTGCAGGCTACATCGCTGCTGTTCAGTACTGATCTTGTCTGCAAATACGAACCCTTACCGAAAAGAGGCCAAATACGACCTTCCGTCGCGGAGTCGAATATGCTTCACCTGACTGGGGTTCCCTAACGTACGTGCCCCGTGTGAAGTGAGTGAGTGGCGAACGCAGTGATTCAATTGCCTGTAATCTGTCGCGTCTGGGGCTAGTGCTTTCCTGAGCAACTCTATCAGTTAACTTTCGAGCTCATAAATCGGACTCTCAACCTGTAACCTGTAAGACGGCTTGAGGAAACTGAGCAGAGTAGCAAGATTTATTGAGTTTTCACTTTCTTACCTGTAAGACACATTCGAACAATTAAGTGAAGGAGATATAACAGAAAACCAATTATGAGCACAACGATTGAGCATAAAATCAAAATCAAATCAATATTGTAGTAAACAATAAATCCTAGATTTCCTTCCAGCTACTTTAAATTCGGGTAGATCACCAAACTGAGCGGCTAGCTCAACTGTCCTGACAAGCTTCTCTTGTGGAGTGAATGGCCGCTGTGATAGAAGGCTTTTTATGCGATGAGCAGCTAATCGGTATCTGAAGTGCATGAACGGCGTAGGTGTTACTAGCCATTGACTTGCATAACGCACTTCTAGGCTAAGGAGACCTCGAAGATTCCTTACCTGGGATCGTTTAGAATCAAGTCGAGTGATTCGCTGAGCACGCTGCCATGAAGAAGCTGAGTCTTTTCAACAACAACACCTCAAATATCAAACTTTATTTTTTCTATGAATGGAATTTGTAGCATAGGCTTAGCTCAAGGCAGAGCCAAGATCACTTACAAGTATCTGGGCTCTTTATAGGGGAGGTAGTGTGGGCCGCGGAGTAACCATGTATAAGTTTCATGTCAGAAGGTTGAAGGTAGCGGCCGTAAGCACAAGTGATTCCGCCCGTGTTGATAGATGCATTGTCTACTGTCGTTTTCTCCATGCTCTCTCGCCGCTTTGTGTGGCCTTTCGCCTGACACCACATTCCCTCGTCATCGCAGTCGATTAGGGCGGGTTCGTCACCGGGCCGCAGACGCGCTGCCAGCAGCGATGGCGCCGTGCGTTAGAAACTATTGCTTTCCGGCAATGTAGTAATTTTTCCCCTACTTTTTCACGTGTTTTTGCTGCTTTTTCCAAGAATTAATCAGGTTCCTTTTCTGTCACAAGGTAAATTATAGGTTTTAGAATTTTTTATAACATTTGCGGAACAAATTAAACGATTAAATTAAACAATCAGGCAAATGCCTTAAAAAAAAATGTTCCGCGAAAACACACCATTACGACGAGAAATAAAAAGTCACGAGGTTCGAACTTCCATAGACAACAACGGGAATCTTGAAAAAAAATAGTAAATAAAGGTGAAAATTAGGGAGCGAAAATTAGCTAATTAGGGTGGAACAGCTGATCGCCGGTGTCGTGACGCGCTGCAGCCGCGTCGCGACCCCTGGGCTCGGCTGATCAACTGCCCGGATGACGACGATAAAATCCCCTGTCCACCTCGCTTGGCACAAATAATGCTTTATTTGGAGGGCTTTTGAGGTTTACCCTCCTTTTTTTCATGGACAAGTCAGTTAGCACACACATTTCTGTTTTTAAGCCTGCTACCTACGTACTTTTTCCTGGCTCATCGTGAAGTCTGCTTTGAATACCTTAGTTTCTGGAATATGTGCAGTCATCTGCATGGTAGCGGAACTGCACGCGACAACTCGTGCGCGCAATTTCCCAAACAAAACAACAAGTTTTCAGGTCTTTTTCCCTTTCTTTTTTCCTTTATTAAATTTTTGATTAACTCCCGAACACTTCTTGTTCAATGCAAGATCATTCACACCGATAGGAACATTAATACAGTTTATATCCTCCCACCAGTGGGAGTGGTTTCAGTAAGGGTGAAAGCGAGTCTATCCGAGGCATTTCGATCACTGGTCGTTTGGCCAAATCGATCTCTAGTCAACCTTTTATCATTAGTGGAGCAAGGCAGCCCGAGACGGGCTCACTCCGCCCTCCTGACTGGCTACGACGTTTATCAGCTACATGAATACGTTGACGCGACGGCACTCATAAGTACAGTCGTAATTCCTGCAAGCGAGAGGGAGTGAGGAGAAGCGTGGATTGGAGTGCAGTCAAGGTCACTTCATCCTCCATTTGTTGGGGCTCAAGAAGACATAATTAGAAGGAAAAGACCGCCCTAGTTGCGCTCCAAACCGTGTCCTCGCTCTCTTGTTTGTAAGAGTAAGGGGTAGAAATGTTCAGCTGAAAGTATAAGAGCTCACCAAAACCAAACTTCTCGATCAGTTTCGCATTTCTAAGTTGATCGCCGAACAAGGGAACCACTATTACTGGTTTCCCAAAGTGTGCGCTCTCCATCATGCTACCGGCACCTCCATGTGTGATAAAAAGCGTGAGACGGTCATCGGCTGAAAGAAAAAAAAGCAGCAAGAAAGGATAAGCAGTACTGCGAAATTAACCTGAAAGGTCTATGAATAACATTGTGAGCAATTTTTATCACACGTTTTTTCTCTCGGGCCCACCGCACGCCTGTAGCTTTGTCAGGCTACACTGCTTACACGCGTTAGGTGCGTT